TGCTGGGGGAGGGCGCCAGCCGCAAGCGGGTAGCGGAGCGGCGGCGGCGTCGTAATCATGGCTGCTCTTCCTCCAGGCAGGCGCGGGGTGTGAGGGGCGCGCTCCAGTAAGGGTTGCAAGGTGGCTGTTGCTATCCTCATTTTGCAGAGGAGGAAACGGAAATTCAGAGAAGTAAAGTAACTTGTCCAAGGTCACGCAGAACTGGGACTGAATCCAGGAATCAGGCTCTCAGATTCCAAGGCTTTTTCCATTACACCATACAGTCTCTATTTCAAGAAGCCCTGAAATGGTTAAGAACAAAGTAAGTATTACTATGGTATTAATCCAATCTCTTGCGCCCCGTTTCAACCTAATTTAAAGGTAATGAAATTTGAGGGTTTAAAAAAAATCAAAAACTCATTAAAACCTTTGAAATCCCGCTGACTTCAAAACTCCGTGAAGAAATTTTGGGCTACCAAATTACATGAGGTAATCAATACTCATTCCAATATCCAATTTAAACTGATGGAATTATTCCTGAAGAGTGAATTTTGGTGGTAAATGAGCAGTACTACATTAACGACTCTCACATTTATTTTTAATAGAATCTGTGCTGCGCGGATGAATACAATTCTTTGCTTTATAGAGCATAAAAACCTTACCAGAAATAAGCCAAAGATGTTTCTTTCTGCTGGTATTTATCTTAAGAATTAAAAGGCCTGTGATTTAGAGTTTAACAATCTTTATCGAACACTGTGTGGAAAATGCGGTGCTAGGCTTGTGTACCCCTTGAGTATACTGTAACTTCAGTCCTTGAAATATAACCTTCCCAACTTACGAAAGCTGCAATATATATTTCAAAAGCAGGATATGAGGAATTATTGCAAACCACATTGTAGAAGTTTAAAAAGAGGCTTGAATCCAAAAATATAAAACCTCTTCATCAAATATACAGAATTTAAAACTGTTAAAAAATTCTGCTGCATCCGTAAATGGCATTCTGGGGATCCAATCAAGTGAAAGAGGATGGTAATTCCAATTAGCTTGTCCTTTGGGAAACTGAGATTAAATCTACTCACATCTTCAAATTTCAAACCGAACTAAAAATCCAAGTTTATGTAAATAATTTAGACCTGGACCTGTCTTATGTGTATCCTACTTTCCCAGAGCTTTATTAAATATAGTAAAATGTCATTGTTGCAGACATTACTAATTAGTCTGTTCAACAAATGTATTGAGAGTATACCATGTGCTAGACTATCCTTGACAAACAAATGAGTTCGTCATACTACACTCAGAGACACATAGTCCAGTGCAGGAGACAGATATGTAAACAAGGACAATCCAGAGTTCAGAGTTTCCTAAAAGAGGATGGAATGGGAACACAGAAAAAGGAATTGCTAGCTCTGCCATTTGCACTAATAAAATACAAGCAAATTCAGAAATTCTTAAAATGTAAAGGAGTTATCTCATGGCTTACGAAAATAAGCTTTTAAAAGATTTTTCATACACATAAATTAGTAAAGTGTAATTTAAATACAAGTAGAGTCTAATACTTCTTAGGCTTCCTTTTACTGTAGTAATTATAAATGATGCTTAATTATTCACAAGAGCAGGAACTTTACTAGGAGGACTCATGCCACAAACACTTGATTCTTCCAACAATTTCTTTTAAATTTACTATTTCAGTCTATGGTGTGTCCACAAATTATTTACCTCTCTATATGCTCTAGTCATACATTTTCATTGAAGTTTACTTAAAAGAATAGATTCCCTATAGCAAAACCTTTCTTAGCTTTCTTGTTCCAATTAAGTATACAAAATCACAAATTGAACATGTATATCCTAAATATACTTAATCCATCAAATAGAACACTTGCAACATTTTAATGAATAGAACAGGCAAATATAAAATACTGATTTCAAATAGTTCCAAAGATCCTTGATTTCAGGATTTTCACCTATTCAGGCTTAATAATCTGAACTAATTGCAAGTTAGTGAGTTTTCACCACACCATATGCTGGTGAACAATCTTGTCACCAACAAGATTCTGGAACTCCAGTAGCATTGTCGCAGCCACCACTTACTCAGATGTTGTAGAGAGACTTCAAAATGTCATGCAAGTATTTATTTAATTTATTTATTTACTTATTTAAACTTTAACGGAAGGCAGCACAAAGGAATTTATCTTATAAACACACGTGGTGCTTGCTATTATGTACCCAATCTGTGTTCTAAGCATTTTAAAAATATTAACTAATTTAATCATCATACAATGCTATGAAATGGGTACTATTATTCTACCAGTTTTACAGAAGGTGAAACAGAGAGTGAGGCAATGAATGTCCTTCCCAATCCTTAATATATGATTAGGAGCACTAGGTGGGTTAACTAATACTCTGGGGCAGACAAAGGCTTGTGTCTCTCAAAGCCAGAAATTATTACAAATGTTTTTTCTGCCCCCTAACCTAATCAAGAGCAACTGTTCTAGAAACTGAAGAATGAATTAAAGAGTGCTTTCCTCTCCATATCATACCAAGTTAGACAAAAGCTAATTGTCCACCTATTTGGCTTCCCTTTGCTCTTCTGGCAGTATTAAGCTATAAAGAAGTAACCACTGTGAACTGACAAGAATTAAAAGAGGCAAAGCTTATATTAACTACAAGAACAGAGTTGAAGGAGGAAATGAATTTAGAAACGACTGTGTTGACTCTTGAGGAAAGCCCAGTGAACAAGTATCTGCCTTCCAAGGAGTAGCCCTATTTCTCCTTTAAAAATGTTTTTAAAAACACAACAGAGTATCTTTTCTGCTCAAGAAATCAAATATCTGATTGTTAACTAATGACCTCTTGTTTCCCCATCTGTGACAATCTTGTTTTAATAGGTTACAGAGAACAGAAAAATCACAAGTATAGCATAGGCATTCCACCAAGATAAACAGGAAGACGATCTTTGAGTTCTGGGAAAAGCAACTCAAAAATCTGAGCCATTTTCTAACTATAGTATTAGGACACACACAAGTAGGTGTCATTGGAAAACAGCACCTGCTTGCCTCTGTACTGGGGGTTCTGCCAGATGCACACGTGAGCTATGTGCTTCTCCTTGTACATAGAGACAGCTGTACCTTCCACCAAGGTTGTTCCCTTATGAAAACAAAATAATTAAATAGATTTTCTATATATTGGGGAGATTTATCAGTCATCAAACTTTATCAGTTTATGATTTAAAAATTACCACCAATCCTGTTAAAATTGATCATCTCAGAAATATAACAAACATGTATAATCATCTCTCATTATAGTGAATTTTTTAAATGAATGCTCAAAAACCTGGGATACTAAATAATGTGTTGATCTAATTTTTTTTCCTAACAAACATTACCTTAATGTTGAACCAACTTTTGGGATAGTCACAATCAGTAACTTATACCAACCAACCCAGGTTGGAGAAAGCTAGATAATTTTTCCTAAAACATTTTCTTATGGGAAAAGTTAAACATATGCAAAAAGAGAGGTAATCGTATAATCAACCTCAGCCCTAGTAAGTTCAACAGTTTTCAGCTTCAACAATTATCAACATTTGTTGACAGACAATTCTTCCCTACCCTCCTCCCTACTATGTCCCCCACTTTTTTTACTAAAGTATTATAAAGCATATCCCAACTTCAATATGCACAACTGATAAGAACTTTCAAAAATCGTATCCACCATGCCATTATCACACAAAATTAAGAAAAATC